GCTCGGTTCACAGACCGTGTAAGTGGCTTGTGCAGCACCGACTGGCTACCCGGCTGGCTGACTGGCTGGGCGGAATTCTCGACTTGCCTGTGGTGATTCTCGATTCGATTAGCTAATATGTGGGTATGAGCTCAGAGCCCGGTGCTTCAAGCCATCACCAGCGGACTTGTGTACTTGTCCAACATCAGAGGGTGTGCCAAGTTGCATCCAGGTAGTTGCAGCGGCCATCAGGCAAGTAGCTGCAACAGATCTCGCCATTCGAAGACTTCGCGTGGCAGTCGCGGTTTGGCAAGTTGTAGATGATGAACACCACCTAAAGCCAGAAGTCAGCTTCCCTCTTGGTGGTTTGGAGGTTGGGGGCCGCTTCAAACCCCCAAACCACAGATCCAAACCAAACCACCAATCCAAACCACCGATTGGGGGGGTACCCTGACCACTGAAAGTGCCGACAAAACATGCCATAAAATATCTTATCCAGTTCGATAGCTTGTTGATGTGGGTGTAACCATTAATGTTTAATGGGCCCCGGCCCCAACTCTGCTTGGCTTGAGGCTTTTTTGCGCCCAACCAAAAATTCACATCCTTAGATTCTGGTTCACATATAGTCAAGCTCAACATGGTTGCTTAACAAACAACCCAGTTGCCCAGTGACCCTGCAAACCCTTTTGAGGGTTGACAATTTTGAGAAGGTGCCCCAACCCACCAAACAACAAAGGGGGATTTAGCGGGTGGAATCGACTGACTGAACAACTGCGTGGCCCACCACCAGCGCTTCATACTTCATATTCAGTCAGCATAGTCAACCTAAAAATCAGATAATGTGGGTGTGAATTTAAAACGGGGACGCTTTGGTGGACGTCATTCAGGTGACCGTGGGGCTTCATGTCCACCAACCTTTTCAAACGGCTGCATCTCAAAATCCATAGATATACCGGAGAAGATCCTCCCAGACTCCGTTTTCGTGCAAAGGTGCCAGCTGACCCTTGCCGGCCGCGTCCGCCAAGATGCCCTCCATCTTTTGCGTGGAGCCGCCCTGGATCTTGGACTTCTTGTCCAACCAATATGCCTAAGTTCGAGGTACAGGTTGGATGCTTCGAATCTCTGGATCCCTGTGCCAAAAGAGTACAGCATGAATGGATTAGTGGGAGCTTGAAAACCAAATGAGGTCATGGCCGGTCGCCGTTACGTGGAAAACAACAATCCGCAGTGGGTCTGGGGGCAACTGCACTTATGATGGGCAAACAGCCAAACTTCTACGATGTCCCAAATAGAATAATTACCAAAAACAAACATCCTACACTATGAAATACAAACCAAAAGTACACCCAGAGGACACCCAGAATTCGAAATACATTTGGCAGTACAGCAACCTGCTGCCCTGTAACCCGACTTTGATGCAACCCCAACGTGCTCCGACAGGACTTCCGAAACAGACACAAAAGGCACACAGACACAGATGTGACTTGTTTTCCTTTGGCGTTTGCAACAAGAGCCAGAGAAGGTCCTGTCATAGGTTTCCTTGGAAGCCATCTTGACCAGATTTGACGGGGGTTCAACATGGACTGCATTTGGTTCAAAGTGCATGTTTGTTGTATTTGCTTCCGGGAGGGTGCCAGAGACTTGTGTTGCTTTTGTACTTATGTTGTATTTATTGTGCATCATTGTTGCATATATAGCGTATTATTTCTGTATTTATTTTGTACTAGTGTTGTATTGTTTCCGAGGGAAATGCACTTTTCTCTCCCATATCCCTCCCCCCTGGCGACACCCCCCCCCCCCCCGCCTTCCCCCTTCCCCGCCCCAGCCCAAGCCATAACAGATTATCAAACTGGTCTTGTGTAGCAGCCCATAGGCAGACCATGTGCGTGTTCAAGGGTGAGTTGGCTCTGCATGTGCTGATGTTGCTTTCATTCGCAGCCCACACGCTTTCTTTGGGCAGCCTGTTGCTGCATTCGGAGTTGTATGTCTCATTTGTATCGCCGGGTGTATGTATTTTGTATGTTGAATTAAAACCAGTTGTCTTGGTTTCTGGCTGGAATTGCCCAAAATAAAACTGCACTACCCGATCCAAGGAAGGACTAGCTCGTGAAAAGAGCTTCTGCTTGAAGAGAGTGGGAACCCAAAAAATCCTCAGCCAAAATTGTGCAACGACCAGAAACCTCACCAAAGGTTGGCTTCAGGAAGCAAGCCAAGGGTGTTGCACACCGACTGAACCTGGCCATCATTTGGTAACCCAATAGGGAATTTGAGAAACAGCTCGGCCATCCATTTCGTCGAGAAGCGAAGGAAAAGGTAACAGGGTCTGGTGCAGCATTCCCTGAACCAACCAGTTGAACGACTGAGCCATGCCAAAGTCACTTGTACTAAGTGAAATGTGTTTCAACAACTAGGTGCCTCAGCCTCAACCTGGGGTGGGTGGCCTTGCGGCTCCAACTGCTGCATTTTGGCTCGACTCCCCACAAATATGGCAATGATTTCCTTGTGCTGCCATTCGCTTGGGGTGTCATTAATTTGAAATACCAGAATCATGACCATTTCCCCCCAATACCAAGAGGGAAAGTAAATCATAATTAACAAGCAAGCGGCCGTTTGCTTTCAAACACCAAGCTGGGCCCGAAGGCCAGAAATCTGGCAACACCCTTGCTTTTGGTGTGTTTTGCGGCAGCTTCCTGTTCATGTCCCTTCAAAAAAAGCATCACCCTCAAACATAGACAGGGGGATCCTAAGTAGCAAAGGGGATTGACCGTGTCTAGTGGGTCCCGAAGCCACCGAACAAGAGAGGGATTTACAGGCTGGACCCCTCTGAGCAACTGGGATCCCAAGGGCCATAGCTTCTGACATTTTGTGACAGCTTCAACACTTATCCAGATCCTCAAGTAACGGACCTGAGTGACCTCGGGTTACCTGTGAGCTTGCCATATGGGCAGATAGCTTGCCGGGGTGCAGAGGGCACATCCATCATCTGCGACAACTTGTGCTTCGCCTTGCCATCCCCTGCCGCTGAAGCGGCCGCGATGCTACTGCCCAGCGATCTCCTGAGCCACTCGCGCCGTGAACCATCTTACTTAGCTACATCCTTTTGGGAAAATCCCCACACCTCGTGGTGCACTCATCTTTCCATCCTTGGGGGTTGACCATCTTCTATCCAAATGTCCGGTGGATTTCCAGCAGAAACAGGGGCCTCTTAAGAGGAAGCCGAATCAATGGATCTATGCATACACCAATCCATAAATCCATCCACTCCAGCCATCCAATCTGCGGACCCATCCAATCAAATCCAAAGTGATCCAATCCGACGCAAACCAACCTGGCGATAGAAACAATCAAGTCAATGTTAGAACTCAAACGAAACAGCATCAACAAAAAGGGGAGCTGATGTTTAAAGGATGTGGCTGCCACAACCCATCCAAAAAAAATGCCCCAGATCTCATCCTGTCCTGTAGCTGGGGTTCACGTAGTACCTGCTTTGGAAGGGGTTGCCCCAGCTCAGCCGCCGCTCTGAGAACGAGAAGTTGGAGGAGCGGGCGCTAGATGCGGAGCCGCGCAGCTCCGAGAGGGAGGCCTGCCGGACGAAGCGGAGCGCGTAGGGCAACAAAAGGGAAACCGGTCATTTATCCAGTAATCCATATTTGTGATTGCTAAAAACAAATATTGTTTGGTAGTGTGTTTTTGAAGTATATCAAAGACAAGAACATTAATAATGAACGACATATTAATAATAGTAATAATAATAAAAAAAAATCATTCAACTATTTTTGGAATCATAACTTCATATTTACCTGTTTTCAACATGTAAATGCGAATCCTCTTTGTTGTGCGAGGGCCCCTATTTTGAGACAACCCCATCGTGGAAAGTCTCCCTTTGTGATATCAACATGGGCATGCTCCCATGACTACTTTATCACTTTAAATGGGATTCCCTCGGCATCACATAATGTTGCCCTAACCCATCCATAACCGGGGAGCTTCCTGAAACTTCCATGTCAGTGGATCGCGTTTAATTCTTTTTTGACATTGGTCAATCCTTGTTTTGGAAGGGAACCAAGGGCAGTGTGCCAATGTGTGGCCTATAGACACCTATCCTGCCCGACGGACCACTCGGGCCCCAAAAACTATGGGTTAATAAACCAGATTTGTGCCCAATGGCAAGACCCTTATACAAAAGGCAAAGTACGGCAGAGGAAAAATGAGTAATCATCTTAGACAATTGGTACTCATCCTTTGTTGGGTACACATGTTTTGGAGCCTGGGGAACATGCCGCGAGCATTCCATTGAAATAAAGAGCCATTTGGTGACCACAGGTACCCCCACAACCGAGGCTCTCGTGTTCCCTTCGTCGCCTCCGGCGAGAAGCCGAAGGCCGCCAGCGCCAAGCAAGCCGCCGCGGCCAAGGAGAGGCCCGCAACCAGGCGCCTGAAGCGCTAGATTTTGCTACCGCAAGAGAGAACCGATAGGCCAACAAGTGAGAGATCCCCTTCGAAACGCAACATCCGCTGGCAGTCGATCTGGCATTCATCACCGCCCCACAAACGAAGACGGAATCCAAAAAAAGGGGGTTCCCCCCAAACCGAGCTTCCCGTGAAGACTCTTTTGTGGGGGGATCCATGTGAATGAGAACCGTACCCCCTGGGCTCCCGCTGATCCTTGGCCATGGCACCAGCGCGGCGCCTCAGCCTCTTGGGTCGTCTCTGCCATGGCCATTTTGCGGCGAGGGAGCGGCGGGACAGTCAGGCTTTTGAACGGAAGGCCGAACGAGCGCCGGGGACAAAACCCAAAAAAAACATGGTCAACCACAGGAAAGCTGGTTGCAGAAAAAACAGCGGAACCAGGACATGTCCTGAATGACCGGGGTGTCCCTGCGTTTAGTGGGAAATCATCACTTTTGGAGGGCCCCCACCCTATTAAACTGAGGCTAAACATGGGGTTCAACGTTAGCCGCAACATGGAAGGACCCATTATGACCCATTCCCAGATTCCCCCAACCGACCGACCCATCCACCTGGAAGGTGGGCCGCAGCGCATCCTCGATGACCGCAAGCCGCTGCTCCGTGACCCGGTGCCCGCCTCGCTCGCCCGAACGTGGGGTCGGGATACACTTCTTAGGTTGCACTTCAGGGTGGGCTGCAACCTGCACCTCCAGACGTGTCAGGTTCGCGTCCATACCTTGCGCCTGGATTGTGACTGTGTTCGACCTGGCTCCGAGGGTTGCTGTTCAGTCTGAAGATGGCTCACAACCAAATTGCCGAAATGGGCTGAAACAACCTCTGGTTCGGCACACTGAAAGCGAGGAGACATTTTTTTTGCCAGCATGTTGAATCTGGTCAAAAGCCGACCCTTGGTGTAATCTCTGGGCGATGGATATGTGTGATGCTTCAGAGTCCTATGCTTAAACAGTCGGTTTCCCCTGCAAGCCTCGAGCCTGTGCACCCTCAGCCACACCCCACAAATCACCTCGAGGCCCCCGGCTGCCCAGGGCTGCCATGACCTCCTGGAGCACCGTCTCCCGAAGCTGCTCGGCGCCTGGATGTGAAACAGGTTTGGACAACTTCAAATTGGGACCCCCAATGGCTGGCAAATGGACCAAACATAGCCCAAAGGAAGTCAGTTAACAAACCTTTTGACAGCCGTTGGTGGGTCCTGGTAGGCAATTCTAACTGTTGCTACTCCTTGCCTCGAAATTGGTAACTAGGCCGCGCTTCGGTGCCAACAGCACACATTACAACTCACCAACCCAACATGAGGGATCACTAAAGAAACTGTTAGGGGAAGCGGCCCCTTTTGGTCTCCGTCCCTTTGAGTAAATTGAAAAAAACCAATGATCGCACAACCGCTGGAGGTCCATGAAACTCCCGTACTGCTAAAAGGGGGTTCGCAACACCTGAGAGGTAAACAGATGGTGTATATATATATATATGTATAGGCAACAAAAGACAAGCCTACATCAAGCAACTGTCCTGCCAATGACGAGGTATGCGGCACAAGCAGCTCATTTTTCAGCAAGGTTGTCAAAGAGATGCTTAGGCTGCCTGTCCGAATCCTGAAGGCGTGGTGGCTCGGCTAGTCCAAGAAGGCCCACAAGGCTCAACCGCGGAAAGCGGTACCCATGCTTGAGGACAGGTATGTAGTTCAACTGAGAGCTTGGCTGTGGTACGTACAGCAAAAACATGTCGAACTTCTCTAAGACCATGGTTCCTCATCATAAACATACGGGGCGATCGCAAGGCATGCCGCCGCGACAAACCCAAACGACAAAGGCTCTGCCCTGCAAAGTCGGTTTGACCACAACCGATACTTAGCTTCCCTCGAATCGGTGGTGTGGAGGTTTTCTAGGGGTGGCTGTCTATAAGGACCAGGGGTTCAAATCCCCAAAGCACCAGTCTAAACCACCAATGAATTGAAGGGGACCCTGAGATATGCTACCAGAATGCTTGCCAGAAATGGTAAACCAAGTGATACGACCCGTGTACACCGAACATGTGCATCTGTGCATCTCCAAAAAGCGAACCCCCAATTTTGTTGGGTGGTGTCCCTTTGCCCGCCAACAGGAAGCTCCAAAACACTCAAATAAGGCCACGATCTTTAGGCACCGGTCCCTTCCTTGCCTTCAATTATGGACACTGACACGACTTGACAGAACTTATCTGGGAAGCACCCCAAGCCCCCATTCGCCGCTTCAATAGGGCGGTTCTACTTCCTGGTTGAATCAGGATCGTGTATAGAGTAAGGCCTTTCTAAACTTGATAACCATTTTAGTAGAACCAAAAGTGAATCTGGGTCTGTGTGTTGCGTTACCGGGATCTTGTGGGTCCCAGTCCCCATGTTGCCGCATACCCATGTGCTGCTTTCTGCTTTTTCCCGGCTCGGATCCGGGCTCATAGTGCCGCTGTGCGCCTGGATCTTGCCCCGAAGGCTGGCCTGGACTCAGATCTCAGCGGTATGCCCACTACTCAACTGTTTCATAGAAACCAGCTACAGGAAATTCTACAGGAAACTTGCCAAATTCCCACCAAAATCAGCGGTTTCCTGTAGAATTTCCTGTAGTGGTTTCTTAGGCTGTTGCTTCCTCACAGCAACGTCACTAAGAAACATATGGTTGTGTGTGATTTGTAGTAGCGAACCCTTTGGACAACATCCTTTAGGAGGGGAGTCCTGTCCACCAACCACTTGTGAGCTGGTTCCCTATGCAAGTTCATAGCCACATGTCTCAATGTGGTTCATGTTCGGTGAAGTTTGACGTCACTTTGAACGGGACCCGAGGACTCCCGCAAAAAAAAGAGAAGTTTTCGGGGTTCCGCTGAGAAAGGGGTCCAAGAGTCCTTCTGCTAGGTTGGGTTGAGTGTGGAGTTGGCCGATTTCCCTGAGTTGTCTCATGGAATCCACTTTCAACTTGGTCACATTGCTTCACTTCCCCTAGGGTTAGCTTCAACGCGAGTGGGAAAGTTTCGAGCGCACCAAGGTAGGGATGTTCCTTGAGGATTCCTTGAGTGACAAGTTTGGGTTCATCTCCGATGAACTCCTTATATATAGAGGTGGAATCCTAGGCATGTGTCAATCAGCTTCCCCCTAACTTGGTGTGCGTCACAATGGGGGATCCCCCGAAATGGGGGTTTCCTTTTGGTTTGACCTTGAACCACCAAAAAACACACCCAATTAGTGGTTTGGATTGGTGGATTGAAGCTGTTCCAGGGATGGTTTCCCGCTTACCCTCAAGAACCAGGGGCCAAACTATCAATTGAGGGTAAATCGAAATAAGGTATCAACAGAAACACCCTTCAGTGAACTGGCCCGTGGCACGGGCCAGAAGTTGGTTATTTTGTTGATAAGTGCCCTGAGTGACTTCAATCCTTGACATGCTATGAGACAAAGGGAGGCAAGGAGAAAGAGTAAATCCTAAAATGGGTGTGCTCCGAATTCGAAGTGCAGAAAAGAAGCAGTTGGTGTCCTTCTCATTTCCTTGAAAACCATCCATCCAAAAAGGGGTCGCATTCCAGGAGATCTGCACGCGCGCAAGTTCTGAACGGGGTTGTCAGGGCTTTGCTTTCTAGGGCAAGCAGGGTGCTTGTGATTGCCTGGAAATGTGCATGTATCACGGGGGAACCCTCCTCCCCACCAAAACCACCATGGGTGGCTTCAAATCGGCTTCCATCTCAACGCAAACGGCAAAACCAAATGTGTTTGTCTGATGTCTCCAAATGGGGCGCGCCCCAACCCCAAAAACACACACTTATATACATGTTCATATGGGCGCGGCCAACAAAAGTGGCAGCTATGAAGCGTTCAGGTAACCCCGGTCTGAGATCAGGACATGCAACTTGCGTTGTCAAAAAGCACGCCTCTGTCGCAACTGCCTTGCAAACATAGTGCGCTGAACGAAACTCAGTGCTGAATAAATCTGTGATGGTACACAAAAAAAAAGGATGTACTTTCCCTAGTTGGCTTCAAACATGGGACAAACCCAATTCTGTTTGACATAAACCAGTCAACTGACCCACCCACAATGCATGAAACTTGTTGGCCAGTCGGAAGAGGGGCCGTGCCTCGGCGGCAAAGAAGGAGATAGCAAGAACGCAAAGGCGGAAAGCCATGTCCTTAGTGCGGCGCAAAGTGTCAAAGGCCCCCCAGACGGAACGATCCTGCAGGAACTTTCTTAGAAGGGGCTCTGATCGAAGGGTTCAGAGAACCTTCCTATGGGTCGGGAACTGGGCGTGGATACTGACCCTGAAAGGGAATGGTTGTGGATTTGCTCTAACTTACAGGAGTTCAATACACAAACCTAAGCACACAAAGCAGCAAAAGCAAGCCTGATGCCACATGTTTGGACACACCAACCACTATTTAAACGGAGCTCATTTTCCCCAGAGCTACGAGATACACTGTTGCTCAATGATGGCGAATAAGCAATTTAACGGTACATTTCAAGTACGTTATAAACGTGTTTGGCATAGCTTAGCTTGATTGTATGTCCAGCTCGATTCCCAATATTGGATG